TGCTTTTCTGGACTCAGCTTCTTAAGAGCGCTCCTGTGATCGATATAAGGTACTGCTGTAGAGGTAACCCAGGGCGGGTGGCAGTCGGCAGTTAGGAGGAGAGGGAATCGAACCACCGCTGTGTGATTTAGGTGGCAGGAAAGGTAACCCGAGGGGAGTTTCTTTTGACAGTACTCTCCATCTCCATCATTTCCTTGTGCCGAATGTCAGCAGCTCGCCCTCTTCATTTCCCCTCCTTATACCCCCTGCCTGGAGTTCGGGTATGAGGACTTGAAACGTGCCAGCACGTCTAAAGGGTGTCTATTGCTTGAGAGGCAGGCAGGCTGTGGAAAATACGAGATTTAAACTATAATCCTTGTGCTTAAACATTGAGCAATAACCTCAAAAAAAAAAAAAAAATCTGAGGAGCAAATCCTCCTGCCTGTCTTGTCCCTGCGCTCCATGCTTAACTCTCTCCGCCCGGCAGCACGGTTCTTGAGCGCTGAGGAGAGAGTAGCCTCCGGAGTGAGTTAAATCCACTTTTTTTTTTTCTTTACACTCACAATCTTGTTTTTTGCCTTGGGCACATCTGTAGCAACTGATCTGTGAAGCTGTTAACTCAGGGGGCCGTGGAACAGCCAAGCGAGGAGGAGCGCGTTGTTTGCACTGGGGCTGACGTCGCTTCGGTGCCACCTGAGGATACCTTGCAGGCCGCCGGCCGTGAACTCTGCGCGGGCAGGCTACGAAGAGTTAAGGATTTTGGTTTGCATCTCCAAGGTACGCTTGAAGCCAAGTTCTTAAAAAAGGAGTTTAATTTGTTGCCGTTACATTTGCCAGACGTATGACCTCACTAAACTTTTAGCAATGGTTCTTTGTGCCGGGATTGGCCCCTGGGGAGCCCGGCACTGCTGCAAATGGCTTTTTGGCTGCTATGAGTGTGGAGCATGTTAAACATAACCGTGATCTGTGAAAAAGTAAGAATCTTCAAGTACTGCCCACTTTCCTTCCTGTCTGGGAGCTGGAATTGGACAGATACCACAGCAGAGCTCATGGCTGAATAGGCAAAAACACCGGAGCGCTGTGGTATGGACTCTTCCGGCCGGGAAGGGCGATGGCCAGGAGCTGCCCGCAGGGTCATCACTGGACGTGAGTCCACCAGCTAACTAGCAAATAAAACCCAACTATGATCTCAGTAGCTGGGCTAAAACTAGCCAGCCTCGTGGTACAAATCCCTTATTACATAACCTCTTCAAAGAGCCGCTTCTGAACGACGCGTGTTTCGAAACACGAGTGAGTAGGAGGGAAGCGAATAGTTTTGCAGACGTTTTGTCACTTGTGACGTGAGAGCAGGGCTGCGTTTCTTCTCTTGCTGTTAGGAACGGTTGGTCTCCAAGTGCTTCTCAAATGGCATGGCCTGATCAGCTGAAGTTTTGGGAAGGAAATGTGATGGGAAAGGAGATTCTTTATTGATGCTCATCTGCATATTTAACCTGAATTTAGCGTGCAGTAGGAAGTTTTGTGTGTGTCTCCGGGAAAGCTGGGATCTATTTCTAGCTCTGCATACCCTTAGATTCCTTTATACTCCCTCCAGCCCTTCCTCCCTGATAACACAATACAGCTGGAAACGCACCATTTTGGTGTCACAAAACCGTTAGGCTGAATTAGCGCCGTGACCTAGTGCCAAAAACCTGTCACCTCTCTTCTCCTTCGCTGTTTCTGCTCCCTGCAGGCATCTTCCCTGTAGCTAACGACTCGCTGCCGCCTTCCGGACACCGGTTAAGCTGGGGATATGGCGGTGCTCTGCGTGGCACCGTGATTTTTCTGCAGATGTCCGTTGGGGAGTGCTGCAAAGGCTGATCCCGCTTACTCCAAGAGCCTGTGGCTGCGTGGAGCATGTGCTGTTGGCGGTAGCTGTTCTTTCAGCTGGGGACTGAAAGGGTTAAGCTAGGGAGCTGCCTGGATGGAACTCCTGCACAGCCTCACTTCCCTCTCAGGCGGCTGCTCTTGGCGATGTTTCCGTGTTCGCACAGCCCTGCTGAAGGCGGGAGCCGAGCGTTGGGGCACACATCTCCCAACTGGAGGAAGAAGAACTTCCCTGCTCAGCTGAAATGGGCAGGTCTTACGGGCCCTCCCAGCGTGGGAGCGTGCTGGGCACCACGGGATCCTGCCCAGAGGAGAACCTCCTCGCAGCATGAGATGAGCTGAGGGGGATTTGGCTTTTTTCCTGCTGTGAATCTGCTCTGCCACGTGTAGGTGCCGTAACAGCAAGAAAGGCTCTGCTGGCTGCTACGTTTGGTCCATGCCAAACCTTTGCTCCATACCTCTCCTTGGTGCGAGAGGTGCCTTGTGCTAACCAGAGCTAACCAAGACGGTTTCCACCCCGTGAAAGCTAGGAATGTCCTCTACTTTCCTCCGACCTTCCAGCTGCTCAGCTTCTCCCAGAGGCTGTGGCTGCTCCAGAGGACGCTGTTCCTTTCAGCATGGTGGCAGGAGATGCTCCTTTCTACCGTGGTGTCTTCTGAGGCAGGCCTGTGGCTGGAGGAGCTTCTCGTCGTGCGTTGGACTCGCTAGACAAGAGCTTTCTCCAGGACGTAGGGATGAAGATTCTGGCTTTTGGCACTTGTCCTTCTGCACACGGATCAGGACAACAAGACAGAGGTAGCTGTGCTGTTGCAGAAGCTGCCATGCGCTCTGTTTTCCTGTACGTGGCTGGAGCAGAGGCGCGTGATGTGTCACTGCCGAGAGCTGGTGACCCACAGGCTGGTGTGGTTCAAAGTTTCCTCAGGCTTAATCGCAGATCCTTGGAGAGACTCTGGGAGTGGGAGAGCAGGCTCTGATTTGGCAGCTTTGCCTCT